CCCACAGTCTGGCACAGAGCCCAGAGCCCACAGTCTAGCAAGTGCGAACTTTTGGCGCTTTTGCTTTCGGGCCCAGAAAAGTAAGGATTTGGAGAGCTCAGGTTCCACACCTTCGGTGGTCCCAGGCGCCGCCCCTGCCTTCGCCAGAGCAGGGGTCGGCGGATAAGTCACATGCATCCACCACCACCACCACTACTACTACTACTACCACCACCACCACCACTACCACGACGACTACTACTTCTACTTCTGCGTCTCCGTCTGCCACCACCACTACCACCACTTCTGCTACGGCCACTGCGGTACTACGTTGTACTGACACTAAAAGTGCCACCCTTTATTTTGATGTTGTTTTCTTCCACCTTTGCTGCTGCCACTGCACACCATTGTTCTTCTTTGTTCATCCTTTCTTTTTGGGGAGGCCCGTGCCATCACAGACCTGCATCGATTGATGTGTTCGATGGGTTTTTGAGCTTTTGGCGCGGGTCAATCATGCCCGAAGACAATGAAATAGTTTGTCTTGAATTGGCGCTGCTTGGATGGATAGGTGAAGGACGTTTCTTTTGCAATGGTATGGATCTGCAGCAACTTGGTTTGCACCGTATGCACCTGTAGCTCCGCATTGTTGCCAGGCAAACTTTTCGCCGTGGTGCGTCAGGTATATCTCTGCGAACATGAGTCAGGCAATGGCCATCCAGACAGATGCCGAGAAGCTCATGAGGCGTCTCATGGCTGCAATGGCTCCTCTCAGCCCATTCTCGGGCGTCTCATGGCAAGTGGTCAAAGCCAAGCCAATCTAAGGTGTATTGACACTGGGAATGCCCACCGTCGCAGCCTTGAATGGACACACTGCAGCAGGGGGAGCAATGCTGGCCCTTGCCTTTGACAAGCGTTTGATGACAGCCGAATCTCAAAGATTCTTGCACGCAGTCTTGAACAAGTTTGTGGGAAGTATGTCATTTGGGTTGTTTTCTCTTGTCACCATAGCCTGCATAAACGTTCCCTACTTGGAATTTGCAAAAGGCACGCGCGAAGCAGGGCTCAAATTGTGTCTGAAGTTTCCACCTGTTGGTGCGCCTGCTTTGGTTCTATCAAGGGGGTTGTTTGTGTGAGCCTGTGCACATGTGGGCCCTGCTGGGCCACAAGCAGCAGGTGTTTTCTTCATACCTGGCATTGACTTGGGCTTGGTCTACTCTACTGGCATGACCGAGCTCATGCACTTTGGCAGAGATGATTGGGAAGGAAGATGCCCCGGTCCCCATATATTCGCTATATCCATTCGTAGTGGCCTCCTGGTTGCCTGATAGCTCCCTCAACCCCCGAATCCACCCGTTCGATCCGTTGGCTTCGAATCTGCGGAGGCTTCGATCGGTCGTGCTTTGCAGTCCAAGCACCCCGCCCTCGGTCGGGTTCAGGGTCGCTGAGTGCCATTACCTGGCTTGGGCTGGGGCCCACTGAGATGTGTTCCAAATTGAGTTTGATCGTGTGTTCCCAAATGAGTCACCTGCCCTGAAGTACTTGATCAAATTGAGTCCCCCAAAGAAATCATCAGCCGGTCGAGTTTTTTGTTTTTTTTTTGGCCCATCAAGATCATTCATGCAGGAAGGCCAAGATGCCGCTTGCAATGTGGAACGTGTCTTGGCTGAGACGTCCTCCTTGGCAACCAGATGTACCAAGCAGACATCAATCAACTTCGCGGCTTGAACTGCGCTGTTGCAATGAGGATGTGCTTTGCATGGGCAAGAGGTTTCAATCTGAAGAGCTCCTCAAGCATGGCCACATGGCAGCACGGCTCCGGGAGCCAAAAATACGGCAGAAACAGCACGTGGCTGCCCCTGTATTGGTCAGAACTCATCCACAGACACCAAGGAGCACGTACGTTTTAGCGTTTCAATTGCAACTGGAATGTGCAGGCAAATGCCGTATATGTTATATAAACATGCAGTAACGCATTGTATATGGCGAATATGCTCAAGTCTTTTTGGTCTTTCGCGTGCGTGTCCTGCCGGAAGGTGTGGTGGAAGCCAGGCCTCCGGCAGCTGATCTCTTTGATTCTGCCATGGAGCTCGCGACATCTCTGAAAAGCAAGGGAAAAGATGAGAAGACACGCGACCTTTGGCCAACAGCAGAGCATGTATGTGGAATGTGGACATGCTTGCGGTTAGATTCAGAATTCTATGAGTCATCGTTGCACGTTGGTGGGTTGCAACTCGCCTTCAAACAAAGGAGCCCATTGATTAATTAAGCATATTAAGCCATTAAATGATACGCCATGTCATTTTCAGCATTCAGCATGGTCCAGTGGGCCAAATCAAAGGACACGCTCCACAAGATCAAGGGCAATCTTTACAAGGACAGGGCACTGTCTCCCCTGATTCCTTGCCTTCCTCACTTTCTTGATGTGGTCTTGATGGATAGCATCCACATGCATCCACCTTGTGAAAGAGGACATGCAACTCTTTACTCTTGACGACTAAGTCCCCCAGAGATTTGTCCAAGAGAGTCCACACGTGACCACATCGCTGTGGGTGCAAGAAGGTTCTCCACCAGCATATGCATTGGATTGAGGCATTTGGGAGAACATCTATGGAACGATGTGGGTTTGCGGAAGACCACGTGACCACACCGAAGAAAGAACACATGGACCCAAACGCGTGTTCTTGGGGGTATATGATATGGATTTTGCCGGACCCATGTGTGAGACAGGCCAATGGATTTTCTTGTGCGTGCCTTTTGCTCGAGTCGCCTGTCATCTTACTTGAGGTCTTGGGGATCCCCCCCATTTTGAGACGGCCTGTGACTAGTGCTTCGAGATGCAGAGAGAGATAGAGGGAGTTTATAAGAGAGATTTAAAGAAAGAGGTCGCGCAAGATGATATTTCATCACCTCTTTAAGATGGCGACCCCCAACAAGGAGGGATCGACTTCTACGGGCAGATGGAGACGTCTAATATATGTTCATGGTTGAGACTTGACCCCTACTTACTATTCACGGTCACACCTCCATGGCCTCAGAGCTGGTGTGCAGGATGCTGCGGCAACTCTGGGATTTCAAGTTCAAGATATGGGTTATGCAACGGCCACCTTCTCAGCAACTGGCAGACCCCAAAAGTAGATGCACCCCGGCACAGTTTATCAATTTTGAGCTCCGGCTGACAGGAGCCGTGTACAGATTCAGGAGCGACTGGAGCCTGTATTGCCCAGTTGCTCCTGGTAGGGTTAAGCTGGAGCTGTGCCTGTACAACTGCAGTGCCGGGGCCTGGCCTTGCACAAGGCAGCCCCACAGGTAAACATAGGGCAGAAATGTGGAGACACTGCCAGGACACTACCTTGCACAGCTTCTGTTTGCGTCCATTTCTATTCCTGGTGTTTCGCATTTGTACATTTTGGTAGTGGAAGCTAGGGCTTGTTCAAACCCTAGACTCCTCACGCCTTTCTTGGCAATTGCCTGTACGTATAGCTTTTCGATGCTTTTTGAAGATACTCCAGGCACTCTGACCGGTGCCAATGCCATAATGCCGTAGCTTTCGGGCTCAGATCTTTAGGACTGATGAAGTCAGGCCAGCCAGAAGCTGTTAAGTCCGTGTGAAAGCAAACACCAAACCATACGATGATTTAGTAAAGGGCGGTCGTATATTTTAGGCATGGTTTGTCTATTTTTGGGGGTGCTAGAACCTACCAAAGAACCGGTAGGCCCTCCTAAAAAGCGATACTACGTTGAAAGTTTGGCTGGGGCCTTGAAAAAGCAAGCTAATGGGACCAGAGACCATCCCAGACCCCCTCAAAAGCGATAGCCTTGAATCTGCATAGTTAACAAACCGTTCTGGCAGACGCTCATGTGGATTTCTACGATTCAGCGGAATGGGGGATTCGTGCAGGCGATTGCGACCGGTCCAGTGATTGCGACTTTTTGCATCTACTCTAGAGCAATGGTGAGACATAGCTTATTGTTTCTAATAGCTTCTTGTTACTACTAGTAAGGCACCTGTTACTAGTAGCGTGGCACTTGTTACTAGTAGCTTATTGTTTCAAATGGCTTCTTGTTACTACTAGTAAGGCACCTGTTACTAGTAGCGTGGCACTTGTTACTAGTAGCTTATTGTTTCTAAAATGGCTTCTTGTTACTACTAGTAAGGCACCTGTTACTACTAGTAGCGTGGCACTTGTTACTAGTAGCTTATTGTTTCTAATGG